CCAGGCGAGGGGGCCGAGCCCCCGTCCGTGGTGACCCCCCGGTGGGGAGAGGACACGTGGGGCAGGGGGACATCGGCTCCTCCCTCGTGTCCCTGCTCAGACCTCTCCCACGGCACCATCCCCATTCCAGGGCATGGTCCCCCTTCCACGGGACAGGCTGAGCTCCCACGCTCCCCGGGACACCCACCCCAAATGTTCCTGGCCCGTGGAGGCAGCTGGGGGGGACAGGAGGTGGCTGTCCCTGCCAGCCGGGGTTTGGGGGGTCTGGGACACGTTCGGGGGGCTCAGCCTGGCCCAGCTGCTCCTGCTCTGCCCGCGGGTGTTTTCCCTGCTGGCTCAGGGTTCCAGCCCCACGTGCCGGGACAGGGGGGGAATTCTGCAGGAGCCAGAACCTGTGTGGGATGGGACAGACAGGGCCCCATCCCTTTGGGAGCAGCTGCTCAGGATCCACATCCCTCGGGATCCACATCCCTCGGGATCGACGTCCCCCTGGGATCCCGGGCCGTGGGAGCTGCAGGGGAGGCTGAGGGAACCTCAGGGCTGTGTCTGGGGCTCAGCAGCTCCGGGTAAAAGTGTGTGTTGGAACCTGTCCTGAAAACACCCCAGTGCTGCTCTTGTGCCAGGGATCTGGCGGGTTCTCCCTGGGGATTCCTCCCGGGTGACAAGCTGAGGGAATGGCACTTTTCCAGTCTGGGAGAGGGAGAGCCGGGGGGTGTGTGAGATCCACACATGTCCCTGCAGGGTTGGGACACGGAGAGAGCCCAGCCCGGGGCAGGGGGACAGTGCAGGCTGTGACAGAGGGAGCTGGGCACTCAGGGCCTGTGGAATTCCAGGTGTTCCACAGAATCATGGAGTGGTTGGGGTGGGAAGGGGATTTATATCCCATCCAGTGCCACCCCTGCCATGGGCAGGGACACTTCCACTAGCCCAGGGTGCTCCAACCTGGCCTTGGACACTCCCAGGGATCCAGGGGCAGCCACAGCTTCTCTGGGAAATTCATTCCAGCCCCTCACCACCAACAAAAGAAAGAATTCCTTGCCAATATCCCATCCAAATCTCCACTTTTCCAGTGGGAAGCCATTCCCTGTGTGCTGTCCCTCCATGCCTTGTCCCCAGTCCCTCTCCAGCTCTCCTGGAGCCCCTTTAGGCCCTGCCAGGGGCTCTCAGCTCTCCCTGGATCCTTCTCTTCTCCAGGGGAACCCCCCCAGCTCTCCCAGCCTGGCTCCAGAGCAGAGGGGTTCCCTTCCCTGTAGCTGGGGAAGGAGCAGGACTGTCCCTGTCCATGAAGCAGCTGTTTGCTTTCCCTTGGGATGATGATCCCAGACTTCCAGGACTCATCCCGGGTCTCCCATTCCCGCCGGGAAATGTGACTGTCCCTGAGCTGTCATCGCTCCTCCAGTGATAATTCCAAACAGGACAGGGCTGTCAGCATTCCCTGCAGGATGGGGCTGTCAGCACCCAAATCCCGGAGCTGATGGGTGGCTCCAGCTGGTGCCTGTACTGACCCTTCCCATGGGATTTGGGGTTGGTGACACCCCCCCCCCCCCAGCCTCGGCTGAGCTGCCAAACCCTGGGGCAGATCTGGGAATCATGGAATTGTTCAGCTGGGAAAGGACCTCCAAGAGCATCAAATCCACCCCGTGAGCTCTCCATGGAATGCAGTGTCCAGCCCTGGGAAGGTGTGTCCCGTGGATCCCTGATCCCAGGGAATGTGGTGTCCAGCCCTGGGAAGGTGTGTCCCATGGATCCCTGATCCCAGGTGTCCAGCCCTGGGAAGGTGTGTCCCGTGGATCCCTGATCCCAGGGAATGCAGTGTCCCGTGGATCCCTGATCCCAGGTGTCCAGCCCTGGGAAGGTGTGTCCCGGTGGGGCCTCCAGAGCAAACAGAGATAAAGCTGCTCCCGTGGATCCAGAGCCCTGGCACAGGGATCACTGGAAGTGCACCACTGGCACAGGGATGGCTGTGCAGCCCTGGAATTCCCCTGCTGGCTGTTTCTGTCTCCCTGCCCACAGCCAGGCAGGGAATGCTGGCCCTGTCCTGGGGGAAGGGCATCTCCTGGCCCCATTCCCTTAAAAAACTCTAGGAGAGAGCTGGAAAGGGGCTTTTCCAAGGGTCTGGAGAGCCAGGACCAGGGGGAATGGCTTCCCACTGGCAGAGGACAGGGTTAGATGGGATATTGGGAAGGAAGTTCTCTGGTTAACCCTGTCTGTGCTGGGAAGCTGCTGCAGAGAGTCCAGAGGAGGCCCCGGAGCTGCTCCAGGGCTGGATCCCTCTGCTGTGGAGCCAGGCTGGGAGAGCTGGGGGGGTTCCCCTGGAGAAGAGAAGGCTCCAGGGAGAGCTGAGAGCCCCTGGCAGGGCCTAAAGGGGCTCCAGGAGAGCTGGAGAGGGACTGGGGACAAGGCATGGAGGGACAGCACACAGGGAATGGCTTCCCACTGCCAGAGGGCAGGAACAGATGGGATATTGGGAAGGAATTGCTGGCTGGGAGGGTGGCACAGGTTTCCTGGAGAAGCTGTGCATCCTGGAGAGCTGCAGGATCCGGGAGCTGCCGGGAGCAGGACGTGGCTGGGGCTGAAGCAGCTCGAGGAGGAGCTGTTGGGGCTGAATTTGGAATGAGGTTCCTGAGCATTCCTTGGCCTGGGCTCAGGAGCAGTGCCGGCTGTTCCGGGGAGGCTCCTCGGCCGGTGCCCGAGCGGAGCCGGGGTTGTTGTGGCGGCTGGGGATTAAACCAGCGCGGGAGGGGATTATCCCCGATCCCCATGGAAATAGGCCGCGGTTCCTCGGCAACTGGGAGAGCTGGGAATGGAAACTCCGCATCTCCAGCAGGGCCTGGCACCCCCGGGGAGCCCGGCACGGGAACACCGGGAGCATCCCGCTGATCCTGGGAGACCCAGCGTTCCCTGCTCAGGGGCCAGAGCCAGCGGGGGCATGGGAGACTCCCCAGCTCGGCCCCAGAGCAGAGGATAAATCCTCAGGGATAAACCTGTAAAAGGGAGAGGAGAAGCCTGGAGGGGGAAAAACACACTTGGAAAAGCTGGGGGGGCGGTGGGGGAACCTGGGCTGGGGCTGTGGCCTGCGGGAAACGCCGGGCCGGGGGAGGCCGTTCCCGGAGGGATCCGGCTGGGAGCAGGGAATGTCCCAGGGCCGTGCGGGGACGCTGGGAGCGCTCCCAGCCAGTGGAAAAATCCACACGGCCGGGAGATAAAGCGGGATAGGAGGTGCTGCTTGGGCCTCTGGAGCGCGGGGACTGTATCTGGGAAGGGAGATTGGAGGCAGGTGATCGGGATCCCAGGGCGTGGGAGGGACGGGGAGTCGGGGAGGGAGCGCTGGGAGAGCGGCTGGACCAGCTGGACCTGTGGAGCAGAGCTGGAACGGGAGAATCCATCCCCTGGGAGAGGAGGCTGACGAGGTGCTTTTCCCTAATTGCTGCTTCTGGGGAGTTCAGAGGTGGCCTGAGAAAGGTCCAGCCCTCTCTTCCCTGCACGGAATCATGGAATCTGGGGGGGAAGGGACCCGAAGTTCCACCCAGTCCCACCCCCTGCCGTGGGCAGGGATCCAGGGGCAGCCACAGCTTCTCTGGGCGACCTGTGCCAGGAGCTCCCCACCCTCCCAGCCAGGAATTCCTTCCCAATATCCAAAATAGTGGGGAAGAAAAGGTGGGATTCTCTTTGTGACTCTCCAGGTTGGAATTTGGGTGTTGTTAATGCCCCAGTGCAGGAGCTCAGAGGGGCAGCCCCAGCTCTGCCCTCCCTCGCTCCGAAGCCCTTGGGGGGCAGTCGGGAAGGGGGAGCCACGGAAAACTCAGGGAAGGGCTCAGCGTGGGCTTTTCCCGCAGCCTGGGTCGCCTGGGTGGGTTTTCCTGCTGAACCACGAGCCTGTCTGCAAACACAATGATTCCCAAAGCTATTTATAGCTCTGGGAGCCCTGGCCCGCCGGGCTCTCCGGCACAAACCTGGGAACGCTGCCTCGGGATCGCGGCCTGGGCTTGGGAGGGAGAGCGGGACCATCTGTGCTGCCTGGAGCCAGGGCACGGCTGGGGCTGCTCCTGTGTTCCTCTCCTGTGTTCCCTGCTCCTGGGCTCCTTCCCCTGGATTCCTTTCTCCTGTATTCCCTTCTCCTGTATTCCCTTCCCCTGGGCTCCTTCTCCCTCCTGCCAGAGGGCCGGGTTAGGAGGGATTTTGGGAAGGAATTGCTGGCTGGGAGGGTGGGCAGGCCCTGGCACAGGTTGGGCAGAGAAGCTGTGGCTGCCCCTGGATCCCTGGAAGTGTCCAAGGCCAGGTTGGAGCACTCTGGGCTGGTGGAAGGTGTCCCTGCCCACGGCAGGGGGTGGCACCGGGTGGGATTTCAGGTCTTTCCCAACCCAAACCATTCCACAGTTCCTTGACACCAGGCCTGGGTGCTGCTCTCAGGAATCCTTCCCCACCTCCCCCGGAGTGGGATCACTGAATTCCCGCCCTTCCTGCCGTGGTGCTGTGGGCTCTGGGTGCTGGAATTGTTTTGGGATCTTCCCACAGGGTTGGTTTTCCTCCCAGATCTCTTGGTCACTGTTCCCAGGAGCCAGGACCGCCAGGAAGCCCCAGCTGGGATCAGATCCCATGAAATCCATCACTGGGAACCATCTGGCCCTAAAGCACCACCCAGAGCTGCCCCAGATCTCTGTTCCCAGCCCGTGGTGTCCAGTCCCTTTTCCAAAGGCAGCCAACGCCGCCAGGCTGCTCCTCCCGCCCCAGGGAGTGTGGGATTGTTGGGAAAGGGCCCTCCCAGGACACTCCCTCCCTGTGGGCAGAGATCCTTGGGATTTTCCATGCTCTGGAGCAGGACCAGGTGCTCTGTGTGCTCTGGATGTGCTTTCTGAGCTCCAACAGTCCTTCTCTTTTTTTTTTAAGCTGTTTAATTTTCCATAGGAAAACAGAAACAAATCCAAGAAACCTTCATTATGGAAGAGCCAGGGTTTGAATTTATTTGCTTTCTAGTGGAGCCACATATCCCAGTTCCTGGAGCTCTGGGAGCCCTTGGAGCTTCCACAGCCTGGCAGGTCCAGCTCAGGTGACTCACAGAGGGAACACACAGCCCAGAATGGACACTGAGCCTGGAAAACGCTCCCTTTTCCAGGCAGGAATGCTCTGCATGGCCAGGGCTGCTCTGGCTGAGAGGGGAAAACCAGGACCTTGCATCCTGGAGACCCAACTGGGAAAAATGGAGATAAAACACACTTTGGTTGGATTTGATTGCGTGTTTGGAGTCTATAAGGTTGGAAGAGACCTCCAGGATCACCAAGCCCAGCCATCCTGGAAGGTGGTGGCGGTGTCCACGTGGGAGCTGGTGTGTGGATCTGGGCACAGGGGTCCCCAGCAGCTCCCTCATTCCCACATTTCCCCCCCCCAGAGTCCGTAAGGATGAATGGCTCTGAGCTCGCCAGCACCACGGCATCCAGTCCCAAATCCAAGGAGGAGCAGGTGGTGAACGGGCACGATGAGAAGGAGAACAACCCCTTTGCTGAGTACATGTGGATGGAGAACGAGGAGGACTTCAACAGGCAGGTGAGACTCCCAGCTCCAGAGGTGCACAGGGATGTGGGGATGGAGAATGGGGAGGTGAGAACAGCAGGCAGGTGAGAGCTGGGGGAGTTCCCAGCTCTGTGCATCCTCAGGGAGAACAGGGGGTCCCAGCCCTGCGTGGGAAGGGACGCTCAGGGAAGAGTCATCCTGCCTGTGCTGGACCTGCCTGGAAGGACGTGGCGTGGCTGAAGCTGGAAAGGAGCCCTCACAGTGCCTCTGATCCCCTCGGAGGGATGGTGACATCACCTCTGCCAAGCTTTTGGGATCCAGACCTTCCCTGTCCACGTGCTCAGCTGGAGGCACAGGACTGGCACCCTGGTGAGCCCTTGGAATTGGAATGTTTACATCCCGGTTGTCCCAGCAGGGAGATCCTACAGGCACTGCCTCTGTTTGGGGAGGAATCCCTTACTGCAGTGAAACCACCCTGGATACACCTGGAGCTGGAGCCCTGGGATGCTGTGTCAGTAAGGGACAACAAAGCTCCTGAGAGCTCCCGCAAGACTCCAACAGCCCTTGGTTGTGGAATAACGACATGGGAGCAGCTCCAGGGTGTCTTCCTTGTCCTCATCCAAATCGGGAAGGGCTCTCTGGAGGCTCCTGGGATCCTCCTGCCACCATCCCAGCAGCTGAAGAGAACTTGGACACCCTGGACTGGGAGAGGAGGGAGCTCATCCCTGCAGCTGAACTCCTGACGTGGCCTCCCCGCCTCCTCCAGCAGGGATTTGGGCCGGGCAGGCCCCGGGCAGGGAAGGGGCAGGAGCTGCAGGTGCTTCACCACCCACGAGCCCCACGAGCCGCCCGGCACGTCCCTCCCGGAGCCACCGGCATTCCTTTCCCATGGAGCCACGTCCCGAGGGCAAACAGGGAGTGGTGGGAGCAGGAACTGCTGACAGCAGGGGCGGCTGGAGCAGGCAGAGGTGTCAGAGGCAGGTGGAGCACTGGGAATATCCACCTGGACTGCAGGGCTGGCAGAGGCACCAAGCGCTGGGCTCGCTCTGTCCGTGTCCCGTGGGAGTGCAGGATCCCGGGGGGTCCCTGAGACCTCCAGCCCCATCCTGCCCCTCTCCTGCTCCCTCTGCTCCCACATCCCTGCGGGAGCAGCTCCCAGAGCTCCAGCCAGATCCTGGGGCTTTCCCGATCCTCCGGAGGAGGTTTCCCGCAGTGTCATCCCTGGAGCTGTGGTGGGAGCAAAGTGTGTCACCCTCTGTCACCACCTGCAGGTGTGACAAACCTGCAGGGAGCAGGAAAGGCTGGGAATGCTCTGGGATTGCTCCAGAACAGAGAGGATCCGCCCAGCAACCCAGCTGGGGTAGGATCAGCCATCCTGTCCAGTTTGGAGCAAGGAGAGGGAGAAATCCTGGAGAAAAGGAGGCTCAGGGGGGACCTTCTGGCTCTGCAATCCCTGACAGGAGGGGGGAGCCGGGGGGGGTCGGGCTCTGCTGCCAGGGAACAGGGACAGGAGGAGAGGGAACGGCCTCAGGCTGTGCCAGGGGAGGCTCAGGTTGGATATGGGGAAAATTCCTCCTGGAAAGGGCAGTCCAGCCCTGGCACAGGTGCCCAGGGCAGGGGGATTTAACAGCCCTGTGGATGTGGCCATGGGGACGTGGCTGGGGTGTCCCTGGCAGTGCTCCCTGATCTCAGAGGGCTTTTCCATCCTGAGTGATCTCTCCGGGCAGGTGGAGGAGGAGCTGCAGGAGCAGGAATTCCTCGACCGCTGCTTCCAGGAGATGCTGGAGGAGGAGGACCAGGACTGGTTCATCCCGTCCCGGGACCTGCCCCAGGGGGTGGGGCAGCTGCAGCAGCAGCTCAACGGGCTCTCGGTGGGGGACGGCCACAGCTCCGAGGACATTCTGGTGAGGGGCCCACGGGGTGTGCCCTGCCCGTGCCAGGGCTGGGACCGGGTGGGCTTTGGGGTCCCTTCCCGCCCAAACCATTCCAGGATCCCGTGAACTTGCTCTCCGGGAGCCCCGGGATGGGGCTGCCGCTTTCCCACGTGGCACAGCACGAACAGGGAGACACAGACTGTCCGTGTTTTCCCCCCAAACCCATCCTGGGAGCACGGACCTTGGAGCTGGGGATGGTCCAGCTCATCCCGTGCCTGTGAGGCCATGAGGGATCCTCGGGGTGCAGGGGTTTGGGGTGCAGCGGTTTGGGGTGCAGGGATTTGGGGTGCAGCGGTTTGGGGTGCAGGGTTTCGGGGTGCAGGGTTTCGGGGTGCAGGGGTTTGGGGTGCAGGGGTTTGGGGTGCAGGGGTTTGGGGTGCAGGGATTTGGGGTGCAGCAGTTTGGGGTGCAGGGTTTCAGGGTGCAGGTCCCTGGAATGAGTGGGATCCCAGCCTTGGATCCCCGTTCCCTCTTCTCTTGCAGAGCAAAAGCAACTTGAATCCAGATGCCAAGGAGTTTGTGCCAGGCGTGAAGTACTGACAGGCCAGGCCTGGAGACAGACTGAGTCCCTGCTGCAGGGAATGCCAGGGGATAGAGGGGGGACAGCCCGGCTGGACTCGGCGCCGGGATCTGCTCCAGCTTCAAGTACCTGTTTTTTTCCTCCTTTTTTTTTTTTTTTTTTTTTAACACTTTGTATCGTCCCATCACCTTTTTTTGGCGGTTTTTTTGCTTCCTGGGACGTGTGGCCCTCGGGCCTGTCCTGGATTCCAGCCTCTCCCTGCTCCAGAGGCCCATTCCTGCGTGTGCTTCAGCCCTGCTAGTGGGAAGATCCTGCGAAGATCAGGTGTGCTCGTTTCAGTAGGATTTTTAGGGCTCCCCTGCCAGCAGCCAGCCCGGGCTGGAGCTGCACTGGCCTTCCCCAGTTCCCCTAAAGCGGATTTCTTCACTCCAGGTGAAGTGCACCAAGCTGTGATCCCGAAATTCCTCCAGGCAGCCGCTGCCCCGGCTCCACGATGGAAGCTGAGCACTCCTTCCCACATTCCCGTGCTGGCAGGGGGGTCCTTCCTGCTCCAGCAGTTCTGGGGGTGCTCAGGGGGGCCCAGACCCCCCAGGCATCAACCCCTGGGAAGGGCAGCTCCTCCCAAACTCCTCCTTCAGGAATGCCCTCCCCAGCTCTTGAGCTCATCCAACACTGCAGGCCGTGGCTCTGAAGCCTCAGCATCCTCATTCCTCTTGGATTTAAGTCTGTTCTTGGCACAGAGGAGGTGGGAGGGGTGTGGAGCAGCTTCCCTGGGTCAGGAGCAGGATCCCCCTTTGGGATGAGCCTGAGCCCTGAGGAACCCCCCGAGGGATGATTTTGGGAGGGGACGGGCAGATCCTGGTGCTGGTCCCTTTTCCCTTTTCCCAGGCCCTGGTGCTGCCTTCAGCAGAGCCCCTGGAGCAGCTGTTGGAGCAGGATCCATGTCTCCATTGGCTGAGCTCCTGGGAACCTCCTTCCCCACCTGTGGGAGCTGCAGCTCCCAAACCACAGCCCTGGCACTTCCAGGGGTCTAAATCGGGGGCTGAACGGGATCCTTCGGAGAGCCAGGGCTGGAAATCCCCATCCAGGGAAAGTGGGAGCTCCTGGGGGTCAGAAATCCCTGTCCAGGGAATACAGGTGTGTCCCAGGGCAGGCAATCCCTGTCCAGAGAAAGGAGGAGCTCCTTGGGGTAGGAAATCCCTATCCAGGAAAAGTGGGAGCTTCCCAGGTTAGAAATCTCTGAGAAAACAGGAGGTTCCCCAGGTCAGAAATCCCTACCCAGGGATCCCTTTTGGGGGTCATAAATCCCTGTCCATGGGAAGTGGGAGCTCTTTGTGGTCAGAAATCCCTATCCAGGGAAATTAGGAGCTTCCCAGAGTTGGGAATCTGTATCCAGGGAAATCAGGAGCTTCCTGTGGTTGGAAATCCATGAGAAAACAGAAGCTTCTCCAGGTCAGAAATATATATCCAGGGAAATGAGGAGCTTCCCAGGTCAGAAATCCATGAGAAAGCAGGAGCTGCTTGGGTGTAGAGATCCTTATCCAGAGAAACCAGGAACTTCCCAGTGTTGGAAATCTACATCCAGGGAAAGCAGGAGCCTCCCAGGGTCAGAAATCCGTATCCATGGAAAACGGGAGCTTCTTGGGGTCAGAAGTCCCTATCCAGAGAAACCAGCAGCTTTCTGGGCTTGGGAATTCCTACCCATAGAAAGTGGGAGCTCCTGGAGGTTGGAAATCCATATCCAGGGAAAGCAGGAGCTCCTGGGGGTCGGAAATCCCCATCCAGAGGAAAAGGGAGCTTGTCACGGTTATAAATGCATGGAAAGCGGGAGCTCCCGATCCAGGACAATTAGCACAGTTCCCCTGGATGAGCCGCCGCTCATCCGTGTAAATCCCCTCCCGGGCGCGGTTCCTCCCCCAGTCCCGGCCCTAAAGGAGCCGCTAATGGATCGGGATGGGGATCCCGATGGCCATTAACTCTCGGGGCCATCGGAGCGTGAACAAGGGCTGAGCCCACGGAATTCCCTGCTCCCAGTGCGCCCCGGAGCCTCCCAGTTCTCCCAGCTCCGGCTGCCGGGCTCAATCCCGGCGCTAAACCCCGGCGGGACCGCGGCTGGAACCAGCAGCCCTGTGGAAGCCCCATCCAAATATTCCAGGTTGGGGTGACTCCTCCCCTTTCCCGGTGCCTTTCCCGGCCGGGCAGGATGGGATCCAGGGCTCTGGGATGGGCAGCGGGACACTGGGCTAACCCCTGGAGCGATCCCACACTCCCTCCTTCCCTCTTCCCGGTTTCCCTTTGGTTTCCTACTGCCTTCCCCCCTCCACGTGCTGTAAATTTCGGACAAGGCGTTATCAAAAATAAACTTTTTTTGGAAGGGAGCGGGGCCAGAGTTTTCCCTGGAAAACCGGGGGAGGGCTCTCCATCCCACGCCAGCTCCGGCGGGGCGGTTTGTCTGCCCCCACCATCATCCCAGTGACCCCGTCATTCCCAGTTCGGGCGTTAGATGGCTCTGCTGGCGCTGCTTGGAGCCGTGTCCCTGATTTCCTTTGGCTCTGCTGGCGCCGGTAGGAGCCGTGTCCCTGATTTCCTTCGCGGAGCCACCTGGAAGCTCCCGGTGGATTTTCCCCCCGCCCGCCCCTCCCTGCGCTGGCACCTTTTTTGGGCAGTTTTGGGGTTGTGCTTTGGGCCGGGCACAGCCCCCGCTGCTGATCCCGGGCAAAAATAACCCAAAAGGGCTTTTTATTCTTGTTTTTCCCTTTTAAATGAAGATCAGCCCCGAAGGCTGCGAGAGCAGGGGCGGGATCGGCCCCTGCAGCTCCATGTCTGTTCCCTGGTCACGGGTGTCACATCCCCTGTCCCCATCTCCGGGGTCCCCTCGGTGCTGACAAGGCCCAGAGGTGTCACCTTTCCTCCTCTTCCCTCCCTGTCTGCTTGGATCCAGCTGCGCCCCGAGCCCCAGCCCCTCCCTGACAGGCTCAGCTTCCCATTCCCATTCCCATTCCCATTGCCATTCCCATCCCATGGCCGCGCTGCAGCCCAGCCCCCTCGGGCACCCAACGGGAACTGAAACAGGAACCTTCGGGGTTCGTTTTCCTTCCTTTTCCAGCAGCCCCTCCTTGGCTCGGGGTGTTCCCACCCCCAGCAGGGCTGAGCTGGGGACAGTTCCTGTCTCCTGGCTGCCAGTCATGTTCCTGGCCCCACACTTTCAGCCCCATCCTGCCCCATTCCCTGCTCTCCTGGCCCCATCCTGCCCTCCAGCCCCACTCTCTCAGTTCTATCCTGCCCCATCCCCACACTCCATCCCCGTTTTGACCCCATGCCCACATTCCCAGCCCCACCCTGCCCCATCCCTGTGCTTCCAGCCCATTTCCATCCCCATCCAGCCCCATCCTCATCCTCCAGCCCCTGTCCCCACCTCACCCCACTCCCCTGCGGGCAGTGCAACCTCTTTATTGCCAAACCACAAAGCCCTGAGCCCACGCCCCCCGTGTCTGGGGGTTGCTGGCTCCCTCAGAACACGTGTGTGTAGAACACGTCCACGTTCCCGGCTCGGTCCAGGGGCAGGGCCATCCCCACGTTCCGGGCCCCCAGCCGGGCCCCCCCCAGGGCCGACGAGCGCTTCAGCTTCAGGAGGCTGAACCGGGAGAACACACGGCCTGGGGCCTCATCCCGGGCCTGGGCCAGCACCTGGATGAACCCTGGGAACGGGGACACACGGGGGGGTCATGTGGGAACAAGCCCGGGCCCCCCCAGCCCCCCCGTCCCTGCGCTCACCCGCCTGCATCCGCTCCCAGCTGTTCCACACGGAGCCCACGCACACGATGGGCAGCCCCAGCTCCCCCAGGAACAGGCTCTGGGGGGTTGGGCTGGGTGAGGGGGGTAGCTGGGACCCCCCCACCCCAGCCCCGGCCCCAGGTGGGCGCTCACCTGGTCGATTTTGGGCAGCACGGCCACCACGTGCCGCGCCAGCACCTCGCCCGCCTTGGTGAAGATGTGGCAGCACAGAGGGTCCCCGGCCTGGGCCCCTGGGGACGGGGTGGGGGGTGGGACGGGGACCTGGGACCCCCCCCCCTGCACCCCCCAGGGGTCCCCCAAGCCGGGCTGGGCTGTGGGGGAGGGGGTGGACCCCGTGTCCCCCACCCCAGGAGTGCAGAGGGTGCTCGGGGCCAAGGTGCACCCAGGGCAGAGATCAGGGAGTGGCACTGGGAGAGACAAACGGGGTCACAGTGCCCGGGGGGGCAGGGACAGCTCCCCCCCTCAAGGGGCCTCCCTACCCTCTGCCAGCTTCTGGCAAAACCCCGCGAACTTGGACTTCTCGAAGGTGCGGTAGAGGTGGGTCAGGAGCCCCATCCTGTCCGAGATCTGGGGGCAGCCATGGGGGCAGAGGTGAGCTCTGGGGCCCGGCTGCACAGGGGACCCCCCTGGGGACAGGGACCCCACCCATCCCAGTGTGCAGCTGAGAGCATCCCCCGGACCCCACACACAGCCCAGAGACCCCCTGGACCCCAAACCACAGCCCAGAGACCCCCTGGACCCCCAAACTACAGCCCAGAGTCCCCTTGTACCCAGAACACAGCCCAGAGCTCCCCCAGACCCCGACACCCAGCCCAGACACCCCAGGACCCCCAGCCCAGATTGCCCACAGACCCTACCGTGCATCCCAGGGCCCCCCAGGACCCCAAAACCCAGCCCAGAACCCTCCCACAATCCAACCCCCATCCCAGACCCGCCTGGGACCCCAACCCCCATCCCAGAGCCCACTGGGACCTTGATACACCTCCCAGACCCCCCTCAGACGCTGACCCCACCCCTGTCCCCTCGGCCCCCCCACAGCACCTGGAAGTAGTCGAACATGGCCTGCCTGACGTATCCGACGTCGTGGGGCGGCACCTCCAGGTTGTCCATGCAGTCAAACACCATCTTCACGGCCTGGTGGGCGATCCAGTACGCTGGGGGTGGGGTGGGGGTCAGGGGCCGCCTCAGCCCCCCCTGGAGCTCCCCAGCCCCCCAGCCCCCCCGGGCTCACCGGAGCCTTCGTCGCCCATCATGTGCCCCCATCCTCCGCAGCCCGTCTCGGAGCCGTCGGGGTTGATGAGTTTGCAGTTGGATCCGGTGCCCGAGATCAGCACGATCCCCCCTGCGGGGCCGGGGGGGGCACCGTCACCCCCTGTGCCGGGGCGCCCCCCGGCCGTGCCCCCCCCGGGGGTGCCCACCGTGGTCGGTGGCCGTGGCCATGGCCCCCACGGCGTCGGTGGTGATGAAGTAGCTCTGGCTCAGGTGGGGGAAGCGCCGGTGCAGCTCCTCTGTCAGCTTCCCGATGGCATCCTGCTGGTCCCCCCCGCTCAGGGACAGCCCCTGCCCCACGGAGGGACCCCGTCAGCCCTGGGGTGTGCCCGCGGGGGGCCCAGGGTGGGGGGACGGGGGGGGCTCACCAGGGAGCGCAGGGGGACCTGGGGGTCAGCCCCCGCCTTGCTCTTGGCCTCGCTGACCATGCGCTCGATCCTCTCCAGGCACTTCTCGGAGCCGATGAGCTGGGACACGGGGGGGACACCCTAAAGCCCCCCCAGCCCTCCGCAGGCTCCCTCCCTGGGGGTCCCACGTGGCTCCACGGCGGCCACGAGAGGGGGGACACCCCGGAACCTTCTCCACCAGCTTCATCCCACCCAAGTGTCCTGGGAGCTTGGGGACAGCCAGAGCCAGCCCCCCACGTCCTGTATCCCCTCTCCATGTCCTGTACCCAGCCTCACACCCTCTCCCCTGCCCTGTGCCCCCCTCCCTGCCCTGTGCCCCCCGGGCCGGGGAGGGGGTGTCCCCCAGCTCACCCAGTGGTTGGTGCAGGGTCCCTCTGTCTCGGCCAGGATCTGCCCATCTCCGGACACCAGCACCACCCTGGAGTGGGTGCCCCCGCTACCGAGAGAGGGGGGGAGGCACACTGCCAGCACTACCCACAGCCCCCCGCCCATCCCACCGAGGGGGGACCCCCACTCGGCCCCACCAGCCCCTAGAGGTGACAGGAGGTGGGTAGGACCGGGATGGGGGGCCCTGGAGAGCGGTAGGACCGGGATGGGGGGGCCCTGAGACGGGCGGGGTGCTGACCCTGCCCCACTGACCTCGGTCCTGGCCACACCCTGGACAGGGCAGGAGGGGTCGGGGGGCAGGAGCCGATCGGGGGGGGCACGGATGGAGTCCCGGCTGCCCCCCCATCGGTTCCTGTCGCCGCGACTCCTCCTGCCCCCCCTTCTCCTCCAGGCTGGGGGTCCCCGGGAGCGGCGGGT